TAGCCGCAGGAGTGTATTACGGGCCAAAGTTGAAAGGTCCCGGGCCAAAGTAGGAAGTCAGTATAACTTAAAAAACATCTCTTCATATCAGCCTTATGGTGTCTGTGGAAGTAGAAACTCAGCTGAGTTTATGTATTACTGCAATAGTGGCAGCCATTTTTTATTGTATTCTTCCATATACTAGTGCTAATTCAATCTCTGGGATATATAAGACGTTTGTGTGCCCTCCCCACACTACGTGTATGTTGTGTTATAGAAAATTTAATTATTTCTATATTTTCCATGTAGGAACGTAGCGCCATCTATGAATTTAGTTAACGTTAACTTTCGTCAAAGATAATAAATGCTCAATAATGGGGTGGAGGGGGTTGTAAGCCCCCTGTTCCAAGTCTGATTGAGATTGGCCCAGCGACCTAGAAGTAGTTAAGTAACAAACAAACAAACACACACACACAGAATTTTCTGCTTTATTATATACATATAGATGTTATGTTTTAGATTATTTAAATAACACCTGTCCCCAAAACATTAGTTAAGTTTTGTTTTTTGTTGTTGTTAATTTCATTATCTCTATCACAAATAAAATGCTTTGGTTGATTCTACACCGTATGAAAACCATCAAGGAACCCAATAAATGTTTAAAGAAAGCAAACATAAATGGTTTTCTTCTTGCTCGTATGTATATTTTAAGAGTTCCAAAATACGGCTCTATGCTTTGACGTAAGTTGTAATAGCTGTTCAATCCGGTATAGTATCGGATAGGAAATTATCGATGTTATGTATAATAACTGAATTAAAAACGTATTTACGAATGAAAGTTTTTTGTTTTTGTGTTTTTTATGCCTTCAAAATGCCTCATTGCATTGTGTATGGCCGTAACGTTGATTCTATACATGAACAAACAAAAAAAACTAATAAACATTTGTACATATAAGATTGTTTTCCAGTCACACCACCTCGATGCACGCTTTAGAAAGTTAAACTATTTGGTGTAATTTTACATTTCAAAAAGTTTTAAACGATTTTGTGTAATTTTATACTTCAAGAAGTTTAAACTAGACTCTGTAATTTTTTACATAATGAATCGTGTAAAAAATACGTGATGTTACTTATAAATCACAAAAAGCTAAGAAGAATGGTTTACAGAAAATAGCAGGGAAGCACTTAATTGAAGTGGTTCCTATCACCCCCTTTTGATGAATATACATCTATTTAAAATTTTTCTATGTTTACAAGACAAATCATAATGAATTACCTTATCAAGCTATAATATTCGTTTACACATTAGTCTCTGAATCATTTTCAAGAAATGCAAACAATGAGTCTAAGTGATACGGTTGAATGTTGTCTACTGGTGTATTGATATACACGATCCAATATTAACTTTGGATAAATTTAACTCTCTCGTTAGGGTTAATTAAAAGTGCGCATGACGTGACCTCTTACGGTGTTACATTCAAACTCTAATTTAAAAGTTTATTATCAATAAACGTGGCATGAAAACATAGTTTATAATTTAAATTTTATATTAACCGAGTTACATCTATATTCTAAAATGCATATTTTAAAGCTATACAGATTTTTTTTTGGATTATTTCGCCACAGTTAGTGTTAGGGTATAAAAAAATAAGATAAAATATAAAGTTTTACAAAAACAAAAAACTAGAGGTAATGCAAATAAAATACGAAACTATAAGATGAACAGAAGTATTTACATTTTTAGCACGAAGATCACCTTTCAGTCAGACTTACACAGTTACGGCTTCGGAAATTCACAGAGAAATTTTTAGTAGAAATACTTTATTGAGAAATCTGATTTTATGTGTAATGCTTATTAAAAGCGTGCCTAGTTTTGTGAAGATATACTTAGTACTTTCAGAATTATAATAAACATTGTTATGTATTCAGATACAGTGTTTGCCAAATGGCTTCTTTATTTATCTCACAGCTATGACGTCATACAGGAATTTCCTTATTAAATCTTTGCAATTTTTGCCAGTTGTAGTAATAGGAAATAACAAGTTTGTTAGAACAGCCCCCATTATAAGCCATCTGTAATAACAATGAACGCAAAAGTAGGATTATTCCTTTTCATGGCATTGAACTGACAAAAAATAGCACTTTTTTTTATAACCGGTGTCCTTTAAAACTAATCTTTTTACCCAACATTCTCAGTATTTCTTATGCCCTAAAATTACTGTTTCACCTGTGTAAAATACATAATATTAATGTGAAGGTTACATTTAATTTTACACCTGACTCAAAACTAGTTAGCATTCTATCAAATAAATACCAAGACAAGAATATTAACAACGTTATTTACTAAATAAAATGCCATTACTGCATGTACGTGGGTGAAACAGAGAGAAAACTCAATACCTTCCAGATGGAGCAGTTTTTCTAACTTTCAAGATCACCAAACTTTGTTCACAATACCTCCACCCATTGATTTCATATAATTTCCAAGGAGAACAACAACTGCAAAATAAAAACGAAGGAAGCCATATTAATAAGAAAAGAAACTATAAACAAATATCCTGGTTTCCCACAATATATATTTACCAATGGTATTTCAGCTGTTAGTTCACTTAAACTTTTAGCTTTTTAAATGTAATTTTCTAAGACCCCCCCCCCCTTGTTTGAACCTGATGAATGATCACGAGAAATGAAGTTATCTGAGTGTTGTAATTTGGCTTTTTCTTGTTTTCATCTTCCAGTAGAACTATTTTATAAATGTACTAGCTAAAGTACTCGGCTTATCAGGTTGATATATTCTAGATGCCATTATACGTCACCTTATCTAACCTATATAAAAGCCAGTGTGTGTCACGTCACGTTTGATTTTAAACTTAAATCATTTCTGAATTAAGGTATTTTCTGTTATATCACCAACGTTTTTAACGAAAACAAACCTCTTTAATCAACGGTAATTCTAAATTAAGAGCTATTTTTCCAGCTTTGTAGTTTATACATTTTATACTTTCAGTACATAGACTAACATCAATACAAGTTTATAATTATGTTGCTAACAATGCATTCTAACATGACATAAGAGTTCGAACGCATTGTTATGAAAACGCACTAGCTTTTCTATATATTAGATGTTGTTATATAAGGAAACAATTCTTTTCTATGTGGTTTTTCGCTAGCTTGCCTCATTAAAAAGATGCGCGCACATAGATAAGTAATAATACCCAGGTGCACACGCTAAGGGTCCACTTAGTATAGGTGCAAAATTTCAGGTTTCTAGGTTCTTTCCTCTTGGAGTTATGGCATTCACACATATGCCTATATATTATTATAGATTTTTACATTAGCTTACATTTTAGTCATAAATGTAAAGATAATTGAAATATTCATATATTTGATTAGTAGTTTTATTTGTTAAGTGATTACTACAGCAGATAGATATTACCAAATTACATAGCATTCAGCAATATAACACTCAATATCATAAGACAAAGGAATATTTTGGATATGTTTGGGACAGTAGGTGTAAAGTGATGTCATTGTGGAAGAAACTATAAGTATTGTCTAGAAATATTCGGAATGCAGTAATTGGCTCATTTAACTCTTTCATTATGCTATGTGAGACAGTGAATGTTCCTACATAGGCAGACACGACTTAAACCCTTACTCCACACTAGAAATGTTCTGAAAAGATTCTCTTGCCCACCCACATATTATACATGTACACAAAGGTTACACTACGGTTGTAATAATTTACCACAAGATGGTGTTTGAATTTTCCTTGTGATGGTTAATCTGTCTTCAGTAATTTCAAAGTCTTTGTCTTAGATCTTTAAAAAAATCTGATTGACAAAGCTTTTGTGTGAACCTGAAATCAGTATCATTATCAGTGGTATAAGGCTAAATGTTACAGTGCTGGAATCCTGCCAAAATTTGCCACGCATAATGCCACCATCAGGGCAAAGATGTCATATTTAAAACTTAATTTCTTTTTTGTGAGTCCATTTTAAATAGAGAAAATGTGTGCAGCACTAATTACCTGAAACTTCTTACATCAGTAACAAATTTAATACACAATATTACCAAGAGAAAACACACAACTTCTTTTAATTAAATAGCAAGGATAAAAAAAAACTAGATAGCATATATACAATACTTGTAGCATTAAGAACTTTAACAATACTTTTCAAACCACCTGTCCTGCCAACACAAATAACTAAAAAAAATCACTCCTCATTGTATATCATGTAAATAATGAGCCTTTTCAAAATATGTATGTTGTAAACACACAGTACAATTGTAAAATGTATGTTATTTAGTGGTTTAAATACCATATTCATGTGTCTTAATAACCATGTGACATATGACAAAACATTTCATCATTTTAATGCTCTGATACTTGCTTTTTAGCCAGAGCAGTCACATAGTGCCTGATGCCAGTTCCCGAGGAAGAGTGACAGTACATATGTGTGTACTGGGCAATCTACAAGAACTCTACTAGTGGAGGGTCACCAACAGACAGTGCTCTCCAGCATACTGAGAGTTTGATTAGGAAGACATTTGATTTTGGGTGTAAATTGTCTAATTAATTTTTCATATACATATCTTTAGTTTTTGAAGTGCTGGAACAGTGCTTTGGCAGCACTACACCCCTGATTATTATACTGTTATGCTGAGAAGAAAGAACTTCTTGGTAAGCCCATGAGAAGTTTGGACTGATCTCTACATAACTTATTAAATATTTTAGCAATTAAGTTAGAAAAAAACGACCTTTACTGTCCAGATAATAATTTATATTTCAGCTTTATCAGTTTTTGTACTACTAATCCTGATGGAGCCACAATGGTGAAATGTCGGCTCAAATAAAAAGTTTTTATTATGATTAAGATATAGTGCAAGGTTTTTAGTTGGATAAAAATATAAAACATTAGAGTAAATATATTATAGTTAAAATAAACATGCATCATGGGTAAATATGGATCTTTATGAAATTATTTTATGTACATAATGAATATTTACAAGTTTATTTAATTAATTTTTATAAGACAACATGGAACTTTGTATTACATCTGAGAAAAATATAAGTTATACTACGAATATTGTGCAAAAAAATGTCAGATTTTTTATTTTTAACAGAAAATCATAAAAGCTGATGTGAAAAGACTGACTACGATGAAGGCACAAGAGATTTTGAACAGATGTCTAAAAACCCTTTAACTTTACCTGGTGATGAAGAAGAGTCCATTAGCTCCAGTCATATTGTTGTTATAATAATGATTTTTGAAAATTTGGAGGTAATAGAGAAACTCTTTTAAAGAAAACACGTAAATTTTGACGTGTAAATACCAGTTTACGGTTTATTCATAAACAATGACATCTAGAAGATTTTCCTTGCACAGGTGTAAGATTATTTTTGCAGCTTCTTTAGTATTGTTTTTGCTGGGAGTTTGTGTTTTAATGTACTATACAGAGTGTATTGGCACGCCTTGTGAAGATAGAAACAGTTTAAAAGGAGTAGTTCAAGAAGAAAAGCTAGCATATTTTGCTAACTCACCAGCTAGGGAGTTCAAAAGGTGGGAGCGACCTGGTAAGATTTGTTTTTTTTTCTTTTCAGTAAATGAAAGTAGTTGATGTTATTATTTAATTAATTAAATTGTTAAGTGTAAGGTCGTATTAATTTGTAGACATTAAAATATAACAATAAAAAGTTCCACTATATAAATCTAATTTGTTTTGACTAAAAGGCAAGATACTGCAAGGAGCAACACAGATATTAAGTAATAGAAATAAGGATAACCAATAGCTTATTAATTATTTTATTTCCTTTGTAAGCTTGTTTTTTTTTTATCAAAGTGCCTGAAACTGTGCTTAAAAGGGCAAACATGCTTTTCTATATTCCCAACTTAGAGTTAAAACAGTATTTATCTAAATCAAAGTCATTCCATGTACTGTTCTTTAAGACAGGTAACAGATTTATAGTTTTGAAAAGAGCTTGGTTTAGCTTATCTTTTCCCCTAAGTTGTTTCTGAGTGGCTGCTGCCAAAGTATTGAACATCTTTGGGAAGTGTCTACATGACAATTTTGTTTTCAATTCATTGCCATGATGTTGTCATCTGCCCCGTATCTGTGGAATTCATGTGTCCAGCGTGTTATCCCTACATTTTTTTAAAAGTATAATTCACATGAAAAGACGATCAGTTAAATATAGAACAACTTTTAATAGATGACTTAAGAAGAATTGATGGATATTATAATGGTTAGTATAAGATGTACATTGCATGCACTGGTTTTGAGGTTCCAAACTAGCACATTGAAGCTTTCTCACAATACCTTCACTTTAGCTTTTAATACTAAATCTTAACCTTTTGTTCTCCAGCTTTTGACAACATTGTAGAAGCAACAGATGCCATTTTTCTTGTTTGGAAGGCTCGGTTTTCCCGTTGATCTTGAATGGCAAGCTTACACTCACTCGTGGTTTCTCGAGAGGAAACCACTCGCGAGATACAGAAAGAAATTAATAGAAATATGGATCACTGAAAGCTTATTTAGTTATTTTAAGTACTTTTACCCTACGTGAATGTGTGTGGGTCATTAGTGAGATCATCTTAGGGTCACTACTTTATTGTCATTCGTGGTTTGTCACCACGACACATTCTTCCATCATGATATCATCGTTCTTCAGCTCTGTGGGTTTTCATTGTGGTGAAATTCTACCATTATGATCAGAGATGCCATTTAGGTAGGGAAACGGGAGGGGGGGG